AAAAAAAAAAAAAAAAAGGAATGCATTCCAGAAATTTGACCACTGGCTGGATATTTGACAATACTAAGGAATTCCTGTTAATTTTTTAGGTGGGATGATGGTAGTATGACTAGTTTTGGAGTCCTTATCTTTTAGAGATACACACTAACGTACTTAAGCATGAAATGATACAGTACCTGATATTTGCTTCAATATCACCTATGCACATGGCAGCACAGATAAAATCAGACAGCCCTGAGTGGATGGGACTGAAGCTGGGTGATGGATGTGGGGCAGGGGATCACCATACTGATTCTACTTTAATGTGTCTGAAGTTTTCAATTAAAAACAAAGCAAAAAGGGGCGCCTGGGTGGTGCAGTCGGTTGAGCGTCCGACTTCAACCAGGTCACGATCTCACGGTTCGTGAGTTCGAGCCCCGCGTCGGGCTCTGGGCTGATGGCTCAGAGCCTGGAGCCTGTTTCCGATTCTGTGTCTCCCTCTCTCTCTGCCCTTCGCCCGTTCATGCTCTGTCTCTCTCTGTCCCAAAAATAAATAAACGTTGAAAAAAAAAAAATTTAAAAACAAAGCAAAAAGGGCACTCAGTCATTTGAACATCCAACTCTTGATTTCAGCTTGGGTCATGATATCACAGTTCATGGGTTTGAGCCCTGTGTCAGCGTGGAGCCTACTTGGGATTCTCTCTCAATTTCTCTCTGTCCTTCCCTCGCTCACTCGCCCACACTCTGGTTCTCTCTCTCAAAATAAATAAACATAAAGAAAGAAAGCAAAGAAAGGTGCTTACTGGTCAAAACTGTTTAAAAAAAACAAACAGGTGAAAGGTCAAACTTGTCTTTTCCTCTCTGGCTGGTATCTGAGAGTCCTGTGGCTGCCTGGACCCTGCATGACTGCCCAGCACCATCCCCAACCCTGACCCCTCTGACTGAAGCCCCTGCTTCCACCCCTTGTACTATTCCAGCAATAATGGACTGCTCAGGGCCTTTGCACTGGCTGTGCCCCCTGCCTGGAATGCTTTCCCCCACATCTCCACAGGCCTCCTCTTTCATCAGATTCCCACTCAAATCCTATCAGTGTGTTTTCCTAGGAGTCTCTTCCCTCATCTTTAACTTTGGTTGGTGGTAGAAGCAGCATCTGACACACTAAGGTGATCTGTTTTCCAGTTTCCTCCCTTGCATTCCAGAAGCTTTTATTCCAGAAGGGATGTAGCCTATTCTGCTCTCTGCACGTGGTAGGTGCTCAGTAAATATTTGCTGAATGAGAGACACACTGTGGGCCTCTCTAACTCAGCTGATCTCAGAGAGGAAGATCTACACCACTTGGCTACAGGTCCCTGACCTCCAGGGACTGTCCACAAAGCACTGTGCACACTCACTCATTTACAGCGAACTAGCACCTATTGTGAGCCAGGCTCTGGGGTGAGATAGGACTGCCCGGTCCCAGCTTCACGTGTTTCAGCATCTCCCCAAAATGTACGTTCCTGGTTAGCAGAGACAACCCCCACCATGGCATCTATATGGGCCAAGAGAACTGTGCCAGGCCCACAAAGAACCAAGAGCAAGGTTGGTGCCTGTGGGGGTCACCTCAACTCTGGTATCTGATGAATAAGAATGGTGGAGGGAGGGGCACCTGGGTGGATCAGTCGTTGAGTATTTAACTTTGGCTCAGGTCACGATCTCACGGTTCATGAAATCAAGCCCAGCATCGGGCTCACTGCTATCAGTACAGAGCCTGCTTCAGATCCTCTGTCCCTCTCTTTCTGCCCTTCCTCCACTTGCACTTTCTCTCAAAAATAAACAAACATTAAAAAAAAAAAAAAAAAAAAAACAAGAATGGCTGAGGGTGCAGAGAGATATAAAGCAGGAGGACCCCAGGGCTGGGGTGGGCTTTACAACCAGTGGTGAGGAGAAGCCCAGACTAAGAGCTGCCTGGCGAATCCATCACACTGCCCATACCTACTGCCCTGGGCCTCAGTCTGAGCAGCTTCTGGTTCCAGTGATGAGCAGACCAGCGCCTCATCCAGACAGGGTCCATGCCCACAGGACCCAACTATACACACAAAGGCCACCAACAACCCTCACAGCCCCACTGCCCTTGCGGGAAGAAATATCCCACCCACCCCCAGCTTTAAACAACTTGGATCTTTAAGGAAAAATTATACATCTTTTTTTTTTTTTAATTGGGGTAAAGTACATATAAACCTTTGCTACTTTAATCATTTTATAATTTTAAGTAACCTCTACTGCCAACATGGGGCTTAAACTCAAAAGTCATGTTGTCCATTGACTGAGCCAGCCAGATGCCCCTACATCTTTGAAAAATTAAGTGCCTGGGATGGGGTGCCTGGGTGGCTCAGTCAGTTAAGCACCTGACTCTTGATTTCAGCTCAAGTCATGATCTCATGATTCAGGAGACTGAGCCTCGGGTTGGGCTCTGTGCCAATATGATGGGGTCTGCTTAGGATTTTCTCTCTCCCTCTCTCCCTCTCTCTGCCTCTCCCTCACTCGCACATGCTCTCTCTGTCTCTCTCTCAAAAATAAATAAACATAAAAAAGAAAAAAAACCATGTCTGGCTTGATCAGAAAGGAATGATGGATTCTGCAGAGATCTTGGTGAGAGACAGGGGCTATGGGGTCTGTGGGCCAATTTTTGAATTGGGTGTCAAAGGGATCACTCACCTTCATTGTTCTTTGCAAAGTTCAGCTTGATCAGGGACCTCCCATCCAGCTTCTGGAAGGAAAATAATTAATAATTAGTAATAATGAATAAGTGGCTGATGTGAAGAAATGCTGAGGCTATGAGGCTAGGTGAAGCAGAGACTGGAGGTCTCTGACCAAGCAAGCCTTTACAGCTACAGGCAAGAGGAAAAGCCACACAGGTGCTGACCCAAGGCCCCCAGGACACAGAAGTAACCTGGAGAAGATGGGCTGTACAACCCAGGCTCTAAGTGGGCAAACTGAACTGCTCACAGGGGCAGACCCCCAGCTAGAGGTGGAGGCTGAGTGTGGAGATTTGTTTTATACTTCTCAAATGTTCAGACATTTTTATTGTGAGCACTGATTACTTCTAAAGCTAAAAAAATGTGTATATTTCTTCTTTTGGGTGGTGGATACAGAGATGGGCACCTACAATTCTGCTGTATGACTATTTAAAACAGAATATTAAAAAGTGGGGGGAAAGGAATCAATATACCCAAATGCTGAGTGATTGTGATGGGATCCTCTATTTTCCAAAGTTCCTGCACTGTCTGCAGTTTACCTCTTCTGTGGGAAACTTTACAATAAAACAAAGTCCAGGCAGCCAGAGGAAAAATGCTGCCCCAGTGTGGGAGGGCTAGGATGGAGGCAGTGAAGGGGGCTGTGGAGACCCCAGAAGGGGAGGCAAGGCTGTGCACCTAGGAGCACCTGAGGGCCCACAACCTGGCAGCCTCTGACCACTCTGGTGCGGGCCCAACCCTGACTACCTAACGCACAGAGAAAACGCTGGGTGGGCATCCCTGGGCCAGGCCCCCATGTCCTCACCCTCCTGAGTGGCCAGGCCACATGCGAAGCCTTGTGAGGCCACTGCCTGCTGGCCAGCCCACCCTTGTTCCTCCACGGCTGGTTTCATTCCTTCCTTTGCCACTCAATGGCCCTTCTCACCAGTGCAGGTGAGCATTAGACTCTACGACAGACAACAGGGTCCCTGCTCTGAGGTTGCTCCCATCAGAAAGCCCTCCTCCTTCAGGCCCAGGCACATGATCCAACCCAGAGAGACCCCATATACAACTCCTGGTGGGAGGCCAAGCCCAGGACATCTACATGTTTTGGGGGCCCTGACAAGCACCCGAGAAGCAAAATGTCCACAGTAACAATATCCACTGGGAAGGAGACAGAGGACATATGGACAAGAAAACACAAGAGGGGTCAGGGGCAGAGTGGGGCCTAAAAGACACCATTGACACCACAAAGCAGACCCTCAGCAGCAGAGGAGCCCCAACATCAGATGCTCCACTGAGGCAGAAGTGACCTTCATGTCAGGGAAGGCAATGTACCCCAAACACAAGCCAATCGCACGGGGCACAGGCAGGCAGCACAGACCCCATAGGAAGCCCCTGGAAGCCCACAGTGGCTTCCAGCAGACAGCCTCACAGAAAAACACTGCCAGTCACACTTTCAAATGACAACAAATGAGGAAGGACACAGCAGACACCTGAAAGAGAGCACTCTCCTTAGGGAGGCCAGACCACCAGCAGCACCTCAACCACCTGAGAGAAAAGTCCACAGGCTCTGGGCAGCCGGGCCCAGAACATGCACCATTGGTCTAGCCCTGTCTCATCCAAGGGCAGGGGAGCCACTCACTTGATCCAAGGGGCCCAAAGCACCCTACACCCTGTCACAAGTGCCAGAGGAGCCCAGATAGCACAGAAGGGCCTCCAGAAAACAGGTAATAAGACCTCGGCTAAGTAAAGAACCAGTGACATTTCACTTGTCCCAGGCTGCCAACCAGGACACTGTTCACATCACTCACCCTCTCACTACCTCGCCCTCAAGCCTCACAGCAGCCAGGTCCTCCTGGGCCTCCCTGACGATGGCCTCCACTCTGCATGTTCTCAAGGGTCTCTGTCACAGAACTAGTTGGGCCACACCCAGCTTACTATCTTCTCAGTCAGGTCGGGACCTCATCCCAGCAGACAGGGTTCCAACCCCAGCCCCCTGGGCCAGCTCTCCACTCCACCGTGCCAGAACCCACCCTGCCCACCTCGTCCTCACACTCCTCCTCCTTGAACAGTCCATATTTCATCAGGTTGACCTCTTAGCCTCAAACACCTCCCTTGGACACCCTGGAGTTGACTTGTCCTCTAAAGTCCCACAGAAGTCCCCACCCTCCC